CTTGAGGCTTTGTCTCAAAAAAAAAAAAAAAAAAAAAAAATGAAAGAGGAGAAGACATAATTCCTACTGTTACTGGGACATAAAGTTATTAATATGTCAACATTTATAATGCTATTTCTTACAACCTAGGAGTATTTATGGTGCTCAAGCATCAATCTCAAGTACAAATAATGACTTATTTGTATACTGTTACATACAAAAGGACATGCATTTAGTGATACTTACCTAATTCAATTTCCTTCTCTATTTCCAACTTAGGCATTGGTCTATCTTCTACAGAAAACTCTGCAGAGGTGATTAACTCTGGTAGGGATTTTAGCAGTTGTCTGCGATACTGCAAACACCAGGGCGACTGAGTGGGGTTTTCTAGGTAGGAGAGTGAAAGTTTAAAAAAAAATTTACTTAAAAAAACCTAATGCTTAAAATGGATATTGTAACAGATTGCTGGACAAAAGCAAGTTTACACAGTCAACACTGTTAATCTAACTATATCCATCTGTCTCAGGTCTTTACGTAACTATAATTAGTTAGTACTAATTTGTTCTGAACATAATACAATTTAAAGCAACTTCTCTAAGGAAGAAAAACATACAGCTTAGTTTGCTAAGTATTCACTAGACATATAGATGTTTGCTCACAATGAGCAAGATGTATGACCTTACCTGCGGTTTCACTAGTAAGCTCCAGTTTCTCAGGAATTTGAAGACATTTGATGGAGGAGGTGCTCGAAACTGAGGCAGAAGATCCAGAGAAGCCAGAGGAGTGTGTGGCTTCATGACTATCTTCAATGATTGGGCTAAAAGAACCACAAATGAGTCAGTTCTCATAGAAATATGTCAACTGATGTCAATTTTATAAATTTAATTTGTAAATTTTTAAATTTTATGTTGGACTTATATTTTAAAATAAAATTTAGTTTTAAATAATTTATAATTTTTTTTGACTTTATTTGCTTGTCTCATTTGGAAAGTCCATTATTTTCCCAAATCATAATATAGATAACGTCCTCTATTTTGGTTGACAAGCAATACTAAATGCCTATTCTACATCTTTTCTATACTCTTGAGAAATACTAACACTAACTTTCTTCTTCTTCATCGCTTTTCTAGACTTTTTCTTTTTGAGACAGTCTCATTTTGTCACCCTTGGTAGAGTGACATGGTGTCATAGCTAACAGCAATCTCAAATTCTTGGACTTGAGCAATCCTCTTGCCTCAGTTTTTTTTTTTTTTTCATTTTTAGTAGAGATGGGGTCTCACTCTTGCTCTTGAACTTATGAGTTCAAGCAATCCACCCACCTTGGCCTCCAAGCATGAGCCACCACGCCCAGCCACTTTTCTAGACTTTTTACTCTTTGATAAGAGGGAAACTCAAATCATGCAACATGAATATATACAACATTTAATTACATTTAATTAAATGTAATTAAAAGTTTGTTAAGAAAAAGTTCTAAAATGTTTTAAAAACACAAATTGGCAAATTAAAGAATAGTCCTAAAACTGGAATTAGTTTGTTTAAATTAGCTGACTTTGAAAGAAGGCCCTCATTCTCTCATACCTATTCCCTAATTCATTTCTACCTCTCTATCAAAGAATACTTTAATAATCTTTAGTTGCAGGTGGCGCCTGTGGCTCAGTGAGTAGGGTGCCGGCCCCATATACAGAGGGTGGTGAGTTCAAACCCAGCCCCAGCCAAACTGCAACAAAAACATAGCTGGGCATTGTGGCAGGCAGCTGTGGTCCCAGCTATTTGGGAGGCTGAGGCAAGAGAATCGCCTAAGCCCAGGAACTAGAGGTTGCTGTGAGCTGTGTGAGGCCACAGCACTCTACCAAGGGCCATAAAGTGAGACTCTGTCTCTACAAAAAGAAAATAATAATAATAATCTTTAGTTGCATATCTGAAATTAGTATCAGCTATTCTACCATTATTTTACTTATTTTTGTTAGAGCTATGCTGAGCCACGCTGAGATCTACCATTACTTTAAACTCGATATTACGTATTATAGGAAAATGAAAAGCCTCCTTTTCTCCAACCATCTATACTTTGACAAGTTTCCTTGACGTTTCCATAATCTCCAGGACTTCTTTGTCTCGTAACCATCAAAGTTCACTTCTTTTAAGCCTCATATCCAAATGAATCACTAAATCCCATTAACACCTTATCTGAGGCAGCCTTACTCTCCTATAAAGCCCTTAGAATAGAACCTGGCAAATAGAAAAAGCTTGGTAATTATTTATTGTAACTGGCAGCACACAAAGAATAAGAGCACAATCTGGGGCTCGGCGCCTATAGCTCAACCGGCTAAGGCGCCAGCCACGTACACCTAAGGTGGCAGGTTCGAATCCCCAGCCC